CACAGGAATATGGGGACACACATGGGGACACACACATGGGGACATGGGGACACACATGGGGATATGGGGACACACACAGGCACATGGGGACACACATGGGGACATGAGGACACACACACGGGGACATGGGGACACACACAGGGACATGGGGACACACATGGGGACATGGGGACACACACATGGGGACATGGGGACACACATGGGGACACCCCCAGGGACACAGAACAGCCACATGAACACGAGCTCCCATGGATACTCAGAGTTGCTTTGCTGAAGGGGTTTATTGATTATTGCAGGGAAATTCCCAGGGCTCCCAGGGGATCGGGGGCGTTATCCAGGGATGATCATCTCCTCGTGCCGCTGGAGGGGCTCAGGAGCTCGGTGCCACCTCCAGTTCCAGGCCTGCAAGGCAGAGCCCAAAGCGTGACCCGCTGTGTCCCCTGGGACACGAGAGGTCCCTTGTCCCCACGCCTCTCTCTGCAGGGAGCTGCAGCACGAGAAGGGATTTGGAGCCCCAGCGACAGCTGGGCCAGGACTCGGTTCCTGAGATGCGAGTGGCCCTCACAGCCCCTCACCCTGGAGCGCCCCAAAAGCTGCCAGAGCCCCCCCTGCTCCCACAGGGACACCGGGTGTCCCCAGAGCCCCCCAGTGCAAGGACAGCCTTGGGGACAGCTCCGAGCACCTGAGCCCAGGCCGTGGAGCAGGGACAGCCCCCTCCGTGGCCCTCTGCCATCCCCAAGCTCTGCCCACCCCAGAGGGCTCGGGGATCCCCCCTGGCCACCCAGGATCTTTGGTGGGGCCCGAGTCCCCCCAGGATTTCTCACCAGGGCGTCCAGAGGGGCGGCCGGGCATCACTCCTGCAGAAGCTGCACCTGCTCAGCCACGGGGGGCTGGGGAGAGAGGCAGGGTTAGAGCCACACTGGAGGATACTGGGGCACACTGGCAGATACTGGGCCACGCTGGGGAGTGCTGGGGGGCCCTGCAGGGTCGTGGCCACCACAGGGGATGCTCTGGGCCCAGCAGAACTCCGGCTACCCACCTCAGACCTCTTCACTCGCTGGACGCCGTTTGGTTTGTGGATCTAGATGGGGAGATGTCACGGCTCACTGGGGTGTCCCCAGCCCCAGCAAGCCAAGGGGGGACCCAGCTGGCCCCCAGTTCCCACACTGGTGCCCCAGTAACAGGACTCACCTTAATGCAGCCACCTAGACCTCCTACGATGCCTCCCTGTGGAAGGAGAGCAAAGGTTGAGTCTGGAATGGACCTTGTGGGGCTCAGGGGGTCACAGGGGTCCCCAGCAGCCGTGGCTGCCCCCACTCTCAGGGGGAAATTCCCCTCTGCTCCCCCCAGTCCCCCCCTGGCCCGTTTCACCTGAGCCCTGATCCCGCAGGGAGCACGGTGGGGATGGAGACGAGGAGAGCAAGGGGGGTTTGGGGCCGAGGAGGAGGAGGAGGAGGAGGAGGAGGAGGAGGAGGGGACAGAGTGGGACATGAGGGCCCCAAGGACGGTGAACTGGGGGGAGCTGGGGGCCCAAGGGATGGGGCTGGGGGTGTTGAAGGGAACAGGAGCTGGGGAATGTGGGTGGGGGGCAGGAATTCCTGTGGGGGCCATGGGGGCTGCAGTGGGGGGTGGGGGGGGCAGGAGAAAGCGGGGCCAGAGAACCAAAATTGATGGGTTTGGGAGGGGCTGTCAAGGACGGGGATCTGGGGACAGCAGCCACGGCCAGTGGGAAAGGGAAAGGACTGGAGGGAAAGAGGAGAGGAAATGCACTGGGCACGGGGCTCCTGGGCCTGACTGGCTGCACTGGGATGGGCTGGAACACACTGGGGACCCTGGGGAAGCCTTGGCAAGCTCCGGGCTGTACTGGCACGCCCTGGGCTGCCCTGGGGTGCCCTGGAGGGTCCTGGCCAAGAGAGGAGAGGGTCTCACCCAGCAGAAGAACTCAGGGTACCCACCAGGCTGCCACCAATGCCACCAACTCTCTGTGGAGAGACCACGAGATGTCAGCGGTCACTGGGGTGTCCCCAGTCCCAGCAAAGGTTGGGGTGACCAAAGTGCCCCCCCCAGCTCCCCCACGGGTGCACCCAGCTCCAGCACTTACCCCGGCACAAATCGTTTCATCACCGCTGCCATCCATGGCCTGGGGAAGGAAGGAAGGAAGGAAGGAAGGAGAGGCAAATGTTGGTGAGGATTGGCCCTTGTGGGGCTGGGGGGGAGCCCAGGTGTCCCCAGCCCCCTCCCCAGCCCACGGCTGTGCTGTGCTCTGAGCAGGGGGTGCCAGGGCATTTGGGGACACCGCTGCAGGGTGAAAGGCGATGGCGAGAGGGGAAAGGCTGGAAAGGAGAGCCTGGGAATCATCCCGGGCTGGGGGGGGGGGGCATTTCCCACTTTGTGCCAGTTCAGCCTGGCTTGGCACTGGAGCGCTTGAGCCCAGCTGGGCCAAGTTCAGCCCAGTCTGCGCTTGAATGGGTTTGGACCTCTCGGTGCCGCCTCAGCCGAGCTCGGGATGGGCCTTTGTCCTTGGCTGGGAAACACAGGAGGTGCTGGGGAGATGCCCCAGGGGAGCAGGAGGGAGGGATGGGGAGGCCCAGAAGGCCGGGATTTGGGGGGAGCAGGGCAGGAAAGCGCCGGGGCCCTCCCAGGGAGGAGCCGGCTCCGAGCATCCCATGGGGAAGCCGGGCTGCGGCAGCGGGGGTTGGATGGTGGGAAGGGGAAGGACAGAGGCGATGGTGGCGAGGAGAAAGCGGCACCTCCTGGGGCCGGAGAGCCCGGCCGAGCCCCTGGGCTGGGAAGAGCCCCCAGCCCCGAGCCCAGCCCGGGGCCTTGGAGCCGCACCTCGCTCTGGGCTGGCAGGCACAGCAGGATGGAGAAGAGCAGGGCCACGCCGAGCACAGCCACCTTCATCTTCCTCTTCCTCTGCCAGTGAGTGGGGAGCGCTGGCTGAGGCTGCCCCAGGTGAGGAGCACCTTTATCCTGCCGGGACTCCTCCCTGCGCCCTCCCCAAGAGCCCCCAGGCCAAAGGCCGGCTTGGCACAGCCCCCAGCCCTGGCCACAAGCCCAGGCCTGGCACAGAGTCCATCCCAGCTGCGGCACGGATCCAGCCCCCCTCCCCGCATCCCTGCGGCTTCCTGCACGGGGCAGCTGCCCCTGCAAGGGCCCAGGGCCCCGCGGGTGCCAAGGGGGGCAGGCAGGGAGCCAAAGGCAGCTGGGGAGCCTGTGGGG